TTTATCCCGCTTCTTACTGTCACTGCTTATTGCCATTCATTGTCAGCCTTTCTCTTCATTCCCACCCTGAATGAATTTAGGTACTTGGGGTACCTCACGTCTTAGACCACTGAGATAGCCTTCTTTGAACCCACCTTCCAATGCCACATTCACTAATTCATTCAATACATGTTTACATGACTAGACGCTGCAGTAAGAGCTATGAGTACCATGTTATACAAGTAAGACACCCTTCCTGCCCCAGTAGAGCACATGTTCTAGCAAGGGATGCTGGCAAACTAGCTTTATTACATCCTTGTCCTCAAAGACTACAGAATAGTCCCGGCTCTTATTCTATGTTATTAACTGAAGTGTTTCTTCCCATCCACAAATTCATATTTTGAAGTCCTAACCCCCAATGTGACTATATTTGGAGATACAGAGTCTTTAAGGAGGTAATTAAGTTTAAATGAGTTCATAAGGGTGGAACCCTAATCTGACACCACTGACGTCCTCATAGGAAGAGGAAGAGACCCCAGGGAACTCTCTTTCTCTCTTTCTCTCCAAGGACACACGGAGGAAAGGTCATGTGAGGACATGGCAAGAAGGCAGCCATCTGCAAGCCGAGGAGAGAGGCCAGAAGAAACTAATCCTGGCGGCATCTTGATCTTGGACTTCCAGCCTCCAGAACCGTGAGGAAATCAATGTCTGCTGTTTAAGCCGCTGTGGTATTCTGTTACGGCAGCCCGAGTTAATACATCCTGTTACTCTTGTTCACACCAGACTTAGGCACTATTCTCTATTACCAACCCTCACCTCTTGTTAAGTAAACTTCTCCAAAGGCGTATAACTTATATTCTTCTCCTCCTCCTCCTCCTTCTCCTTTTTTTTTGAGACAGGGTCTGGCTCTGTCACCCAGGCTGGAATGCAATTGCATGATCTTGGCTCACTGCTGCCTCAACCTGCCATACTCAAGTGACTCTACCACCTCAGCCTCCCAAGTAGCTGGGACCACAGGTGCAGCCACTACCACGCCCAACTAATTTTTTTTATTTTTTATAGAGGCAGGGTTTCACCCATGTTTCTTAGGCTGGTCTCGAGCTCCTGGGCTTAAGCAATCCTTCATCTCAGCCTCCCAAATGTGCTGGGATTCCAGGCATGAGCCACTGTATCAACTTTTTTTTTTTTTTGGTACAGAGTCTCACTCCATAGCCCAGGCTAGAATGCAGTGATTCAATCTCAGCTCCAGCCTTGACTTCCCAGGGGCTCAGGTGATCCTCCTACCTCAGCCTCCCCAGTAGCTAGGACTATAAGTGCACACCACCACACCTGGCTAACTTTTTGTATTTTTTGTAAAGACAGAGTCTCCCTATGTTGCCCAGCCTAGTCTCAAACTCCCAGGTTCAAGTGACCCGCCCTCCTTGGCCTCCCCAAGTGTTGGGATTACAGGTGTGAGCCACTGCATCTGATCAATAGGGAGTGTTCTAATTTTAGCTGTAGACAAAGTACACACTCCCTGCACTTTGGGAAGGTGAGGCAGAAGAACTGCTTGAGACCAGGAGTTTGAGACCAGCCTGGAAAACATAGCAAGACTTCATCTTTTTTTTTTTTTTTTTTGAGACAGAGTCTTGCTGTGTCACCAGGAGCCAGGCTGGAGTGCAGTGGTGCAATCTCAGCTTACTGCAATCTCGTTGTCCTGGGTTCAAGCAATTCTCCTGCCTTAGCCTCCCAAGTAGCCAGGACTACAGGCGCATGCCACCATGCCCAGCTAATTTTTTTTTTTTTTGTATTTTTTAGTAGAGATGGGGTTTCACCATGTTGGCCAGGATGGTCTCGATCTCTTGACCTTGTGATCCACCCGCCTTAGCCTCCCAAAGTGCTGGGATTACAGGCATGAGCCACCGCAGCCAGCAGCAAGACTTCATCTTTACAAAAAATTTTTTAAACTAGCCAGTTGTGGTGGTGCACACCCATAGTCCCAGTTACTCAGGAGGCTACAGCAGGAGGATCACTGGACCCCAGGAGGTCAAGGCGGCAGTGAGCTGTGAAGGCACCACTGCATTCCAGCCTAGGTAAGGCCCTGTCTCTGAAAAATAGGAAAAGGAGGGAAGTGTGAGATATAACGGTAGTGGTCCATAGCAATTCTGAAATGCAACTCAGCGCATACTGGAAGTTCCTTGATTAGGTTTTGATGTATGGAAATAATTTTCTGTGGATCTTGGCTCCACCCTCTGTGCTCCTGGTTCTGCCTTCTGAGTCTCCCTTCCTTTTTCATGAAAGATATAAAGTTGGAAGCTTAGTGGTTTTCTTATGCTGCTTCTGGCTGATAGAATTTTGGAAGTCCAATGCCTTCATTTGCTACTCTCTCTGTCCCTTTCACTCAAAACTGGCAGTGTTTCTTGGCGATACAATTTTCTTGAAAACTTTGTGGGATTTCTGTGAATTTCATTTGAGTTCACTCCATTGGATAAAAGCCACATCCAAAGAACTGATCTAGGTAAGATCTTTTTCTACCTTGGGCTCCTGTTGATTTTGCTGAGGAACAGTGTCCTTAAACTTCCTAGAAGACCTATGGTTTCATTGAAAAGGTCCTTGAGACACATTCTTCATCTCTTTCAAGGGCTTTTTATGTAACTAAATACTGATTCTTTCATCCTTCTGAGATTTTAACAGAAGGCTATATAGTTACACCTCCAACATTTCCTCTACCATCTGCCATTCGCTGTTTTCTTTCTTTCTTTCTTCCTCTTTCTCTTTCTTTCTTCCTCTTTCTCTTTCTCTCTCCCTTTTTTTCTCTCTCCCTTTCTTTCACTCTCCCTTTCTTTCTCTCTCCCTTTCATTCTTTCTTTCTTTCTCTTTCTTCTTTTTTTTTTTTTGAGACAGGGTCTTACTCTGTTGCCCAGGCTGGAGGGCAGCGGCGCAATCATAGCTCCTCATAGTAGTCTCAAACTCCTGGGCTCAAGAGATACCTCCCACCTTAGCCTCCCAAGTAGCTGGGATTACAGATGCTCACTACCACATCCAGCTAATTTTTATTTTTTGTAGACATGAGTCTTGCTATGTTGCCCAGGCTAGTCTCAAACTCCTGGACTCAAGAAATCATCCCATCTCACCCTCCCAAAGTGCATGATTATAGACATGAGCCACCATACCCAGCCTCTCTGCCATTTTTCTTGACAGTGCTTGGAAGCCATTTCTTATTCCAGCATATTTTCCCCTCTGAAGAGACTGAAAATTTTCAAAATCATCAAGTCCTAACTCCTTTTGTTTCATAGTTCTCTCCATTTATTTCTCTCCTCTCACATTTTACTATAAAAATTGAGAAGAAATCCAGTGGGGCCTTCAACACTTTGCTCTGAAATATCCATTCCTATATATCCAAATCCATGACTTACATGTTCTGCTTACCACATAATTGCAGGAGACATTTGACTACATTTTCCGCCATTACATAATGAAGATATATCCCTTCCTCCAGCTTCTAAAAGCATGCTCATTTCCTTTTGAACTTTGGAGTGTTTTATCCACTTTATGTCCATAAAGTCCTTTAAAGTCTTTAAAGTTTCTACTAACACTATGTTCAAGCAATTTGGACTTTATCAAGCTCCTCAAAATTATTCCAGCTTCTTACTATTCCTTGGTTTCAAAGCTACTTCCACATATTTTGGTATTTTTTATAGCATCATGGCATTCCCAGGTACCACAATACCAAATCGGTGCTCCCTCACTATGTAACAATGTTATCACAAATTTAGCAGCTTAAGACAAATACACATTTACTATCTCACAGTTTTTGTGAGTCAGGAATATGGGCACATCTGTGCCTGCTCCTGTGTTTTTGGGTCTCGCAGAAAGTGTCAGCCAGGACTGGGGAGTCATTTGATGACCAACCAGAGAGTGATCTGTTTCCAAAGGCAAGAATGCATGAGGTTGCCAGCGGGATTCCCAGTTCTTTCTGGGTCATCATGCTGAGAGTCTTGCTTCCTTGTTGACTGCTCATAGCTCAGTTCTTGCTACATGGGCCTCTTCTGATGGATATTTACTTCACCAAAGCCAGCAAGGGAAAGAGAAAATAGTCTACTAGCAAGATGGCAGCTACAATTTTATGTAACGTAATGATGGAAGTGACATCCCATCTCCTTTTGCCATATTTTTGGTTACAGCAAGCCACAAGTTCCCCACATGTGCATGGGGACAGGATTACACAGGACATAAATACTAGGAGGTAGGGGTAACCGGCAGGAATCTGAGAATCTTTTTGCCACAAAATACCAACTGATGCATTCAATTAGAGAAACAGCTTTGCACCATGTGTAAATAGCTATTAGTTTTTTTATTCACATTAACATGAATATTAACTATTCTTTCAAATATATTCTGAGCACCTACCATGTGCTAGGCATTAGCCAAGTATAGGATATGGTACAAAGATGAGCAAAACCAAACAGAGTTCCTATTCTCACGAAAATTCTAGTCAAAGGAGAGATAAAATAATCACATGAATAAATGTGAAATTATGATTTTGAAAAATACTCTGAAAGTTTATGGTACTGTGAAAATCCATAACGTGAGGAAATGACCTGATCTCGTGGTTGGGCACAGCTTCTGGGAGAAAATGACATTTCATTTGACATAATTAAAAAATGAACAGGAATAAACTAGAAAAAGCAAGGAAATAAATTCCATCCATTCAGAAGATCAAGTACAAGGGGCAGAACCTATAGAGAGCATCAAATTATTGAGGAATGAAAAGCTGGAGGAAGGAAACCAAGAGGTACCCCTAATTCTGATCACCACTTTGGGGTCTACACCCATATATCCACCTGCTTATTTGATATCTTCATCTAAATATTTTGCACTTCTCAAAATCAATGTGTAGAAAACCAATCTTGGCTTGTAAAATTTAGTTTTTTCCCAGTGTGCCCCACTTCAGTGAATGGCACCATCATCTGTAAACTGGAAGTGAGAAACCTAGGGGTCATTCTTGACAGTTCCCTCTTCTTCACTCCCTCACCAAATACAATGCACTTTCTTACTAGTTACGCAACAGGTCTCTCATAATCCAGACATACTATGTTCTTTCCTGTGCCCAAGCCTCTGCTTTTTCTGGTCCTATTCTTGGAAATTCCTCTCCATCCTCACCCGCCTTCTCTTTTTAGCAATATCCTAATTTATCCTTCAAGACTCAACCTAAACATATTGCATTTAGTGTTCCACTACATCTCTGCATAAACAGTACCTCTCTCCTCAGTGATATAAAATACTTTTCAAATACTTCATCACCCCTGTTACAGGTTGGTTGTCTGGGAAGCAGACTTTCAGACAGATCAGCAATCAGGACATTAGGAAATGCTCTTGGAACCAATGCCAGTGGAAGGAGAAGGAAGTAGGATTGGGCAGAGGGAGAGCTGAGTTGAGATGTACCAAGAGTCCTCAGCGAAGCCCATGGAGTGCTCTGAGCTGGGATGGTCCTTGGGATCTTTCCAAATTTGGTCAAGAACTCCAGGACTTTAAACTCCCCTGCCCAAGATGATCAGTCCATTGGATGTGGGTTATACCTAGAAGGAGGCATGACTTTGGCTGAGTAAGTTTTCCTGAGTAATCTCTCCCAAAGTATGACAGCTTAGGGATGTCTTCCAGATGTTTCCCAGAGTTGAGGAATAAATCCTTCATTCCTGAAATGAAGAGGAATCCAGGAAGTGCACTGCAGCATCCACCATGATTCCCAGGCTCAAATCAATTTACTAGAACCACATTCCCTTGCATTAAGGAAGGCTTCATTGTCCTCACTAGGTATATTTTCGGTGATTTGTTTGTTTTCGAGATTAGATCTCATTGTGTTTGTTGCCTGGGCTATTCACAGTGGCTAGTCATTGGTGCAATCATAGCATTCTATGAACTTGAACTCCTGGACTCAAGCATTCCTCCTGCCTCAACTTCCCAAAGTAGCCTAACTAGGTTTTGAGATTTTTGCTTCCTTAAAGCAGAGAGTTAGGATTTAATGGAAATCTGATCAAGGAATTACTGAATAAATGACCCAAGGAGACTGATTAGCCAAAAACACAAGACCTTACTTGGAAAAACAGAGCAAGCCCAGCACCGGGGCTCATGCCTGTAATCCTAGCACTTTGGGAGGCTGAGGCAGGTGGATCTCTGGAGGCCAGGAGTTCAAGACCAGCCTGGCCAACATGGTGAAACACTGTCTCTACTAAAACTACAAAAATTAGCCGGGCATAGTGGATTATGCCTGTAATTGCAGCTATTCAGGAGGCTGAAGCAGGAGAATCGCTTGAACCCCCAGGAAGCAGAAGTTGCCGTGAGCTGAGATTGTGCCATTGCACTGTAGCCTGGGCAACAGATTGAGATTGTCTCAAAAAAACAAAAACAAAACAAAACAAAAGCTCAGGACAGAGTGCAAATATCCTTTTTTTTTTCCAGACAAGGTCTCACTCTGTCACCCAGCCTGGAGTGCAGTGCCGAGATCTCAGCTCACTGCACCCTCGACTTCCCTAGGCTCAAGTGAACCTCCCATCTCAGTCTCCTGAGTACTGGGATGACAGGAGTGTGCCACCATGCCCAGTTAATTTTTCTACCTTTTAGAAAGACGGGGCTTTGCCATGTTTCCCAGGCTGGTCTTGAACTCCTCTGCTCGAGCAATCTGCCTGCCTTAGCCTCCCAAAGTGCTGGGATTACAAGCTTTGGCCACCACATCCAGCTGTCATTTAATTTTTGTCACTTAAATTACAAAGTATTTTAGTCATACAAAAAGTAGTGATAAGGAGTACCCATGTATTCATAACTCATAACCTAGTTTAAGAAAGAAAACATTATATATTTGTGGTTCCCCTGTATACTTCTCACTCATCCCATTTCTCTCCTACTCTCCCTAGAAATAATCACTATCTCGAATTTGGTGTTCATTATTCCCATGCATGGTTTTATATTCTTACCACATATATATTCCACTGAATGAGTAGACCATAACTTTTATTTCTGTTATCACTTTCATAGCCTCCAGGCGTCCCCTGGTCCCCCGCTCTGATGTTCCCTTGAGCTACAATTGATAAAATCTAGTTTTTAGTACCATGCAGATTCTTAGCTTATCTTCTGATCTCTTAAAGGAAACATCTTGGCCCTTGCAGCAACACATTTACAAAACAGCTTAGGATTCTGAGCATACTTTTGCAGGTAGTTTCATTATTTACTAATTCTTCCTTTAGTCTGAGAATAACCCTTTCCTGACTGTGTCTCCAAATTCTTGGCACACACTCATTCCCTGCTTTACCATAAAATCATTCTCCTAGGTGTGTAACTCTGTGACCCGGTAGTTTATAATGGCAAGAATCTACATTTTCAAGACCCAAGCTATCATTTTGATTTCACCAGCCGTCACATAAGCTACTTCTGCAACCAGAAAGAGGACTCTCACCAGAACCCAACCAGGCTGCCACGTGACTTGGACTACCAACTCCAGAACTCTGAGCAAAAAAAAAACTTCTGTTGTTTACGTCACTCTGTGTGTGGTATTTTGTCATGGCAGCCGTAGCAAACTAATACACACACTAATCCCAATAATTGACCACACAGTATACTGAAAAAGAGGAGTGACTGAGGGTCAAGAGCAGTGAGGGGTCTGAGTTCCTGTTTGGGCTCTGTCACTCAGACTCTAGGGCATAACACTTGACCCTTTGAAGCTCCCTTTTCCTCGTCTATAAAATGAAGGGCATTAAGTAGCACTTCTTCATGTCCCTTAAAATTTCGAAACAAAGTATTTAATTCACAAATGGTGAGCTATGGGTCAGGCAATTCTAATACCATTACTCCATCTCAGGAAGTAATCATGGATATTCACAAAGTTTTAGTTACAAACATGTTCACGACAGAACTACATTTAATGGCAAAAATACAAAAACAAAAATCCTGTCAATAACCTAACTATACAACAATAAAGTATGTTAAATCAGAGACAGACAATATCTCGCCATTATAAATGGTATTTTAAAAGAATATTGTGCAAACCCATTAAAAAATGCTTTTGTTAATAAACAACAAAGATATAGTGTTGAGAAACCTTGTTCTTTAAAATCATAGTTGGCAGAAACTTTGAAATCCTATCAGTGAAAATGGAACATCTCACTCTTATTAGGATCTGAGCTCTGTTAGTCACTTTATTTTTTAATTTTTGGGGGTACGTAGTCGATGTACATATTTATAGGGTACATGAGACATTTTGATGCAGGTATACAATGTATAACAGTCACATCAAGGTAAATGGGGTATCCATCACTTCAAGAACTTATCCTTTGTGTTACAACCCAATTATACTTTTATTTTTATATGTACAATAAATTATTGTTGACTATAGACACTATGTTCTATCAAATACTAGATCTTCAGTCTGTGACTTTTTAAAATCTTTTTTTGAACTGCTTTATTGAAGTATTGAATATACTTCAACACTCTTTAATATTATATAAAGAATTAAACAATACTTTATATATTTGATAAATTTTGAAATATATACCTGTAAAACCATCACCACAATCAAAATAATGCACATATCACTCCCAAGGGTTTCCTGGTAACCCTTGGTAATCCTCCCTCTCTCCCATTTCTCCTTGCTCCCACCACACTCTGCGCCTGTCCCCAGGGAATCACTCATTTGCTGTCACTATAGATTAGTTTGCATTTTCAAGTTTTATGTAAATGGAATCATACACTATGTACTCTTTTTATCTGGCTTCTTTCACTCAGCATAATCCATGTTGGTACATGTCTTCATACTTCATTCCTTTTTATCTCTGGGTGGTATTCCACTGCATGGGTCACTCCCAGAAAAAGCAGTCCTTATTTCCAACCAGGTGCAGAGCTTCAGGTAAAGGGTTTCAGACACAACAGCTTAATATTGTCATTTATAAGGAATTAGGATTCTCACTCTATTTAGGCTAGACTTGAGATTAACTTCCTTACAGACAGCACCACTTCGATTTGAGGTTTTGTGTTTTCCAAGACAAGAATCTTGTTTTGTCACCCAGGCTAGAGTGCAGTGGCACAATCTTGGCTCACTGCAACCTCTACCTTCTGTGATCAAGCAATTTTCATGCCTCAGCCATCTGTGTAGCTGGAATTACAGGAGTGTGCCACCATGCCCAGCTATTTTTTGCATTTTTACGAGAGACAGGGTTTTGCCATGTTGCTCAGTCTGGGCTTGAACTCCTGGCCTCATGTGATTCACCTGTCTTGGCCTTCCACAGTGCTGGAATTACAGGTGTGAGCCACCTTGCTCGGCCTGCTTTTTGCATTTTTACAAGAGACAGAGCTCTGCCATGTTGCCTAGGTTGGTCTCGAACTCCTGGCCTCAGGTGATTCACCTGCCTTAACCTTCCAAAGTGCTGGGATTGTAGGTGTGAGCCTCCATGTTTAGCCTGCTTTGAGTCTTTCAAAGCATTGCTTCATTTAAATTTTACCTAAACTCCATTGTATTGCAAATGAATAAACCTAACATTTTGGGACTACAGGTATGTTTCTCGTGGGCTTTATTACTTGATATACTCAAGGCTACCTCAAGCGAAAAAAGTAAATAGTGTATGACCTCATTTTTGTTTTTAAAGTATTTTTGTTGTTGTTGTTTTCTATTGTTGAGATTAAAGGACAGAAAAAAAGAAAGGCGATTGATTTTACTGAATCAATACTCGATAGGTTGCCAAAGGGACTGGCAAACCCCACTACTATTATTGCAATAGTTTTTATTTTTATTTTGAGGCTCTCCCTCTGTCGCCCAGGCTGGAGTGCAGTGGCACGATCTCGGCGCACTGCAACCTCCGCCTCCCGGGTTCAAGCAATTCTCTTGTCTCAGCCTCCCGAGTAGCTGAGATTACAGGCATGCGCCAGTATGCCCGGCTAACCTTGTATTTTTAGTAGAGATTGGGTTTCTCCATGTTGGTCAGGCTGCTCTCGAACTCCTGACCTCAGGTGATCCGCCCACCTCAGTCTCCCAAAGTGCTGGGATTACAGGCTTGAGCCATTGCACCAGCCACTATTGTAATTGTTTAATTCAGAAATTCACAGATGTTTATCTAGAATGGTCAGAATACTCAGTGGAACTTCTCAGGAAAATCACGACCCTTCACATCTCTGGAACCAAAACACATTTGTAGAATTATACATCTTATTTCACAAATATAAATGGAATTTACAAACTTCTGGAGTTAAAGCAGATCCCAATAACCTTTTCTAAGTTTTTGGCCTCCTAATTTAGTCTTTAAATAATAAATAATTTTATTATTTAGAAAACTCCTTCCACACATTAATCACAATATGCATTACAACACTGTTGCAAGACAGGTCAAAATACATTTTTTGTATTTGGTGCTTATTAATATTACCCTTGTTGTATTCCTTAAGAAAGTCTGTATTTAGTTCACTTAAGTGAACTTGTAGTTCCTTACATGCTAATTATCATTTACAGATAAAATATAGTTTCTTTATAGCAAAATATCGTAAAACTGTAAGGCAGCCTTCAAACATTTTCCTCATAATTAAAATCTGAAAAGGCAATTCGTTTCCTTCTATAGCTGCATCCCAGAGATGGACAACATAGCATATAATAACAGAATTTTTGGAAACTCCTTTTGCAGTGTTGTAGAAAAGCTTAAAACGAACCCAGAAAGCTCCCTCCACACGTAAATACAATCTAATGTGCTTCCTCTGATGCGTTATTAAAGCTACAAATTAGTAGGAAAAGAATAGTGCCGCCCACGGTCTTTCCAACTTTTGAATTCTGGGGACTGAGAAGAGTGAATGAGCCAAACGACGCGAACGCGTCCTCGCCAGCCTGGCAACTGGCAGTGTATTAGTTGCCCTGGGGAGAAACACCCTAGAGAGAAATACCCAATTTGTGAATTAAACCTAGGCCCCGGAAGAAGAATGCCCGGCGTCAGACTCCGCGGAGCTCATTCTGGAAGGATCCGGCGGACCGGTGCTCCCAGGGAGGAAACGCGCTTCCACCTCACCACTCCAGAAAAATGCATGAAGAGCCCTACACCTGCCAGGGAGACTTTGACCTAGACCCGGTGACCCGGTTCTTAGCGCTGCATCCTCCTCCCCGCCCCCGCCTTCCACGAGGCCCCTCCCCTGCACTTAGTCGTTGCGCCACGTCTCCTAGCTCAGCGCCACCAGCTACCCCACGGAGGCGTCCGCCAACTAACCCCTCCCAGCCTCTCGTCGACAGTCACGGGTCCCCGAAGCCGCGTCTTAACCAGGCCGGAACAGACCACCGCCAACCGTCACGGCCTCGCCTTCGCCCCACCCGACCTCGCCCGCTCCCACGTGACGCCCACGCCCCGCCCATCGGCGCCCACGTGACCCACGGTCGGCCCCGCGCGCGGCGTGGGTCGCGGCCCGAGCCGCCATTGTTCCGCCGAGGGAGGACAGTGGGGCCTGGCGCTGGCGCCGAGACGCCGCTTAGCGGCCGCCACTGGAGACACTCCCTCCCGCCTCCCGGGTCTCCTGGCGGCGGCGGAGTGAGGCTGACAGCGGGGAACCTGGGAGACCCCTCTGCCCTTCCCGCGGCGGCAGCGGCCGATCCCCGGCTCCAGCGTGAGGGGCGGCCGCGATGCACTGGGCCTGAGGCTACCCGGCCTGGCCCATCTTCGCTTCCCTTGACTCTTCCACGGCGTCTCCGCGTCCCGGCGTCATCCTGCGAGTCCCTCTGACGGGAAGGAAGATGGCTGCACGGAGCTGGCAGGACGAGCTGGC